CTCACACAAGCAGGAATTTTTGAAAGTACTAAACTTAGCAAGGTCCCAAGGACAGCATTCATAATTTCTTGCCTGTGCTATCCCCTTCTCATGTGACTCTATGCAAGCTCTTATCACTACTCCAAAAAACCTATCCCCTCCCTCTCTCCAACCGCCAGAAAAAAATATTCTCCTTTCAGCAAAGAGGAAACAAGAAGCTTCTCTTCCACAACCTTTCCTCATGCGGACAGAAGTACTCTGGACACTGCCAAAGCACATACATTTATTTTTTAGTATCGGATGAGACAGCTTCTGAAAGCACTGCAAGTTCTCCCGTCTAACATTATCCAGTTTACCACAGATAACAACCCTGAACGGGAAGCTTTCCCCTGCCAGAATGCCTAGCACATAAAATTATTAAAGGCTTAGAAATGGTTTCAGGGCTGCTCAAATACTGTGCTGCAGCAAAATCTGATTTCCATTAAAAAAAACCAGGAGCAACCAGAGGAAAAGGAGACTCCAGTTCATCACTTTGAAAAAAGGAACTGCCTTCATTCACTCATTCATCCTTAGAGCAAACAAATTCCAGGAAAAAAAATATTACTAGAGTTTAAACTAGGTAATAACTCATCGTACCCTTTGGACTGTTCAAGATACGAACGTGTTCCTAAGCTGTCCTGAACGAAGGCTGAGAAAACCCCTGCCTCCCACACAGACACTCCTGCTCCCACCCCTCAACTAGAAACTATGGACCTTTCTGGTTTTAGGATGTTCAGCTACAGGACAGGCAGAGACTCTGGCAATTAAAGTAAGATGCAGACCAAACAAAGTTTCCAGACTGATAGAAAATAGGTCTGAACTAGTTCACTGCTTCTCATTTGTGCTTTTCCAAGCAGCCATAAGCACGCTATCAATTAAGTTCAGCAACCATACCCAAGAACATTTTATAGGGAAATCGTGATGTCAGGTTCCTGAAACCTCATCTTCAGATCCATCAGAGAAGCACCATGGATGTTGACCATAAGATTACAGGAAACTTAACCACACTGCGTCCCAACATTTATTAACTACCACCATCTTCAGTTGCTGCATTGGATGAACAAATCTTATTACTTCAATCTCATTTGCCCACAGAAATTCCAGCTGAAAACTCACTTTAATATAGCTTTAATAATACATGAAAAAGATTAATCTATAATTGTTGATTTTTGAAATAGCACTTCATTGTGTCACTCACACTGAGTGCTTTTGATCATTAAAACTTGCATGATTTTTCAGTCTTAATAACGAGGCTCTGCTTCAGCTGAGAGCTGATCTCATCAGAACAAATTATACTCTATGGCATAGATCTGACCAGAACTTTTAAGACTTTTAAAACTGCCATTTTATTTGTCTTATCCTACAAAACAATTCAAAGTCTTAGCAATCTTGTTTAAACCTGTAATATCCAGGAACTCTCACATAAACAAGATGCTTAGCAGGAAACTACTAGTAAAAAAGTGAACAAAAACGTATCACGGAATTAATTGTTTACTCTTAGCACACAAATGAATAGTTTCTCATGCCTTTTTCCATGTCAAAGGGCTTCTAGCATAGGACATGCAGTCAGAGACCTACGACCTCTTGCTGTCCAGTTGAGGAGAGGAGTGATAGAGCTGCTTTGGTAGGCACCAGACATCCAGCCAGGTTCAACCCCCCATAACAGACTAAAGCCTATTCTGTTTAGATTAAATGGGGTTACCTCAAAATTATCAACCAAAACCTCTTGAAGAGTGTGTGATCTCTAGCAATTTAATACAATAACTAGCTGTGTAAACTTGGAGAGGCAGAAATGTCTCCCATCAGACATGCCACCACACTTCTACCATTAGCAGAGGAAAGATTTTTATCTTCTTTTAAAGGAAGTTATGCAAGATCCATTTCTTTGCAGAAATCTTTGATTTCCATCTTTTCCCTTTAGTGGCACCTACATTCCAATCACATATGGAAAGGAATAAGAGTGCTGAAGCCCTTGATATATTTTGTATTCCTTTCTTTCTATACACCCTTAAGAAGTCTCCCTGCTCTGCAATGTAACGAACACCCAGCCCTGAACTGGTGGCATTAAAATGAGGGTTGGTTAGGAGAGGTTTCCTGCTGCTCTCAGAATAGGACGGCGTGGCACCTTTGAAGAGGTGCGTTAGTGTCTTGTGCAGTCGTGCACCAAATGAACACCAGTGTTTAGACATCAGCCTAGAAACTGTAACCATTGTAAAGTGTGTCTGTAAATAGATTAGATCCATCTACATATTAGGATTAGTGTGAATATCGCCAATCAGAGTAACTGAGAGTGTGACACTTGACGTGCGCAGTTACCACACCGTTCCTATCAGCACATCTCTAAGGATGTTAGATGCCTCTGTTGCCGCCCTCCGTTTACAGTGAGGAAACCGAAGCACAACGTAGCTGATTTGATCAAGGTCACTGAAGTAGCATAATTCAGGTATCTCAGATCCAGGGATCTCTCCACTGAGTCACACCGTCTCTTCACACTCTCTGAAATTGTAGAGGAGATGCAGGAAGACTTTAAGGTTTTCCTTCTGAAGAATACTCGGGTAGTTCTGGGTATTCACAGATCATGAAGGTGAGGGTGCTATGGGAGAGCTTTTCCTCCAAGGCTGGGTTGACAGGGTGGCACTGCAGCAGTTGCCATGACAATGGCTGAATCTTTGCAATGACATTGCACACACTTCAAATGAAAACCTGGGCAAGTCTCAAAACACTATCTAATGCTGTAAGAAGTCTGACGAGATCTCACATAATCTCCCAATCTCCAATTAAAACAAGCACTATACATGCAGGAAAGGAATGCAGATTGCGAAAGATTTCACATCTGCCAGAGGTGAAACACAAAAGTGCAACGCAGAAGAATTTTTCTGTGAACCTCACGATTTTGGAACACTACAAGTACTACTCACTACAGACAGGGCGGGATGCCATGTTCAGGAGAAGACTGATTATCAGAAAAGACAAAAATTTGAACTCATCCCCTGCCCTTGCTCTCCAATTCGTTGGAATACTGAAGACATACAGAGAAGCAACGACAGGGAAAAGTTTAGTGATAAGTCCACTTACCTAATGCATTTCATAACTCCGTACATTGACATCTAGTGCAGGCAATTTGCAAACGGAGTTGTAAAGGAAGAGAGCATGCAACCACCTAACACCAGATCAGACGGGTTCTACACGATTCCACCCATTTAGAAGCTTTATATAAAATACTGGTTATACTGAGTATTGAACAGTAGGTAACAACAAGCACTAACACATCTATTATTTCAATTAACTGAACACAAAACAAAGATCAGCGTGATGTGCTCACATCTCAAGTTCCTTTAAGAGTCTCCAGCTCCCAGGCTACTTGTTATTTCCAAAAGCACAATCATTAGCATTACCTTTTGCTGCTTCAGACCGCTTAGGCAAATCAAGTGTATCAAAATTCCTGTCCAAATCTCCATTCTTCTTTCCTGTGCAAAAAAATAAGACAACAGATGGAAAAGACTGTCAGCAGACTGACAGGTAAGCTACTGTCATGTGCATCTACAAGATGAGAGGAGATATAGACTCAGAATACAAACTGCAGACTATTACCCGCATTTGTACACATCTGACTTGCAATCCCACTGCATAGCTGTGGCTTTGGCATGAGCAACTTAGGGACAAAAATCCCTGCTACTTCCAGGCTGATCTGCAAACATGCTTAGCAGCAGCATTTAAGTGGGTCTTGAAAGTGCTTAAAATCTTGGAAAACTGCGCTAGCTCCCTTCTTGGCAAGGCTGTGCTCCCCCCTCAGAAGCCCCGTATTTACTTGTTATTTTCACAGAGCAATTTTGATCTGAAGCTTAGCTCAAGCAGAAACTGAGCAGCAGAGCAATATACAACAGGCTTGCTTTGCAGCCTCTATTCTCATCGCAACTATCAAGCTGGAAAGCCTAGATTTAATATATTGTACAGACAGCAGCCAGCAACTTAACCTTGAATTGCCCTTCAATCAATAAAGTGCCATTTTGACTATTTATTAGAAACTAATGGAGACAGTTCCATACTTATGCTAAGAGACAGTTTCAAACCATTACATCAGCTTTAATTTACACAGTCCTTCACAGAAAGCAGAACAAAACCTAGACTTTAATTTCAGTTAGGTTGGCAATTCAAGGTTATGTAAACAGCCGGGGAGGGAAGTGGAAATTTTCATCCCCTCCTCTCCCCCAGGGAGACACAGCACATGGGTGCTGGGGGGTAAGCAGGCACCCTGCCACCAGAGAAGAACTGACAGCAGAGAGAGCTTCTGAAGTGCAGGAATCTGCACAGCTGCTGAGGACAGCAGCGTACAAGTTATTTCTAGAGGGAAAATCAAGTTATTTTGTCCCTTTCCCGCAAAAGCAGGGGAGGGAGGTAGGAGATGGGATGAATTCAGAACAACACGATTTAAGCTGCCAGAGGTGGCTTCTGAACAGGGACTCTACCAGGCTGCTAACAGAGGTTTACAGGAAGGGCTGAAAGCTTCACCAATCAGGATGCTTAAAAGCAGACAGGAAAACGGCCCCTGAAAATGTAGCGTGGAGATCAGTCTGACTCTTCACTGAGAATAAGTCACGAAATGGGAAAGGCAAATCCCTGCCCTGTTATAGCAGGGAGCAGGTTCTGCAGTGAATTCAATGGGCGACCCCTACCTTTCCTCTTGACAAAAGGATAAACAGATGCAGTACTATATAGAGAAGAAACAGAGCTTTTAAATACCAATATGAATATTTAGAAGAAACATCAAGAGGAAAGAAAAATACCCCTCACGATGGTATTCCATTCCCTCCCTTTCTCTGGAAATACCACACACTTTTCTTTTGAAATGCCAACACAGAATACCAGCCAACTTTAACTACTGTGCAAAACAAAACACGGATTAGAAATTCCGTTCATCTGAACTAATTTGCGTGATTATACCAAGCATGAAAAGCCCATCCAAGTTACCAAAAGGTCATGCAGTCAGGTACCATGCCATTCCTCTAAAAGGTATCTTTTCTAAAAGAAGGGACAGGAATTAGCTGCACTTTGCAGCCCTCCGACAGCTTCTCGCTCCGTGAAAGCGCCAGAAACAGATTGCTTGTGGAACCAATACCAGAAAGAAAAAATGCTGTGCATGACCAAAGGACATCACATTTCATAATGGCAGCTGAAGCCAGTCACTGGCTGCAAACCCTTGTTGACCCTTAGAATATTGACAGGAAAAAGCAGGGCAGAGGGAGGAAGAAAAAAAAATGACACTGAAGGAAGGAAGTCGGTGTTTAGGGAAGATTGCAGACTTAAGACAGACCAATAAATGTGAGTCCATGTTATCGACAAGTAGGACAAACTGTCTTTTCACATGACCCCAAATTTCATGTCTTTGGCATTAGCTAGTTTAAACCTCAAAGCTTTTACTTGGAGAGCCAGACCTTACTCAACACAACTGCTCATTTCAGAAGTTCTCTCTGTAATTCAAACATTGGGGTTTGGTACTTCTATTAGCCCTGCAGAACTGAGATGGCACAGTAAGAGTTCCCTTCTCTCCAGTGCAATGTTTAGTAAGCAGTATTTGTGCACAAGTTTTTAAGGAAGAGCTTGTCAGGAGACCAGTGTTGGCTGCTACATCTTTGAAGCCAGCAATGCAGAGCAGCTGCCTATTTACTAAACCATCTTTCATTAAGACAGCACACTCCACCTGTGCTTCGTGATCTTCAGTTGCTGTCTCCAAATTTCTGTGCCAGACTGCAAATACCGGCCATCTTCTATGAAGCCTTTACTAGTTTGTCTCTCAGCCCTCTGAGAAACCAACCCAACTCACGGGCAAAACCACGTCTGTTCCAACCAGAAGCTGCCAGCTGTTTACAAATGGAGCCAATTCAGAACACAGAGCTCTGACCAAGGGGATTTCAACTCTACAAATTACTTCGTTAATCAAACTGAGCAAGGGCCAGGTTCAGAAATACCCAAAGCACCTACATTTTCCAGGGCTTTCCTCTAGAGGAGGTGACCAAGCTGTCAGACGATTCCAAAGGAAATCCATCTAGAAGGTTTCAACCTGCAGCCCAGCTGGTATTTTTCCCACCTCATTTTCACAGGACCCACAAGTATTCATTTGGAGTTTCTAAAAGGTGACCAAATTCAGCAAGTCCACCAGCCTACCAAATACAAATCTCTCAGGCATCCCCTGGCCTGACTGGTATCATGAGAAAACCAGCTTCACTGTCAGCTTCTGTAGCTCTGAACGCCCTCCTCTGTCACTCCGGCCTGTCAGTAATGCTAGCGCACAGGGATGCTGAAAGGACCACACTAGCAGTAGAAAAGACTTTTAAGACCCTGGTTTTGTACATCTCAATTTCTGCTGTTCTATGCATCTCCCTGCTCCCCAGGTTTTCCAGCCTGAGGTATGCCAGAGAAAAGATGATGCTGTTGGATCAGAAGCATGGCCCCAGACTTTGTCAAGAGACAGGCAGCTCTGAACATGCCTGCTGACAGGTCTGCTTTATGAGACCTGGCTGTAGGAACTGGCACAGCACTCTGGTTTGGGAAAACTGCCTGACATGAGACTTGCTTGTGCAAGATGCAATTTACAGTCCCAGAAACAGCGGGATTAAAATTCTTTCCCTCTCCCCTCACTGCTACTTTTCATTATGTAAGAAACAACCAAAACACGACCTTCGGCATTTTCAATCTGTCAGAAACTCAGTACGGACTTTGAAGTGTGACCCAGTGTTATTAACCACTGATGTTGCTGTTGATTTTCATCAAAAGTCGCTTTGCTTTACCAGATAATCAAAACAGCTATTCAGCTACACCATTTTTTGCCAAAAGATTAATTCCCAAACATTTTCCTTCTGGCTAAAAACAAAAATAAAATGGGAAAGAGATTCTTCATAACCCCCCTCATTCCCCTCTCCACCCTCACCAGTCAATACCATGCTTGTTAGTCCACCCACTGAACCGGACTGCAGCGCAGCAGCGGAAAGCAAGGGCTGAGCTCTGTCTTGCCAACATGCCCATCCTCCACAGGCTCACCAGGCACAGTCTGAAAGCGGTGTGTCATGAACATCACTGAGCACCACTTGTTGGGTGAAGCAATTAGATTCTTTGCCTCAACCCTTCAGAAGCCATTGATCTGAAGCAAGTGTCACAAACTGAAAATTACCCTGCCCTTACCCCTAAATCAGCCTCAGTACCACAGTGGAAGTCTCCAGGGCACTCACAGCCTAACAGCTTCTCAGCCAAGAAGCGACAGAGGCAAACTTTAGCCTCGGACCTGTGTATTCCAATTGCAATTTTACTCATTGTGCTTGGATGAGAAACTAGAAGGCATATCCCCGAGGCATTTCTTAAGGATAGCCTCATCTAGCTAGTCTGGGTGCCAGTAATAAAGATGCACCAGCCCAGGCCTGCATGCCCAAGCTGAGAAAATACCAAAGATCCCCGAGAATACACATCCAAGCTGCTGAGGCTTCATGGCCACTGCTACCCAGAGCAGCCAGCAAAGCTGCACTTTAACACAACAGGGTTGGCGAGGCAACTTGCACACTTTGGTGTTCCCTCTCTCACAGGGCTATCAGGCCACTTGCAAATCAATTCTCTTACTGCACTCACACCAGGAGCGAATAAAACCTTTTCTTCTCTATCCCCAGTGTGAGAAGACCAAGCTGAAAATGCTCACTCATTTAGAGGGTTTCCATGCCTACTGAAATGAACAGGAGGATGCGCCGGGCAAGCAGAGGAGAAGGTGAACGAACAAGACCTTGATCTCAGCTCTTAGCCTTGCATGTAAAAGTTGAACAAAGCATATTATGGTGATGATGAGAAGAAAGTATTGCAAAGACTCACCTTGATTGAACCACTCCTCTAATTACCAGAAAAGCAGCAAAAGAAAAACAAAAATTTACAGGAAGGAAGAAAATACAAAGGAACAGTCACAAAGAGGCAGAATTTCACAGAATAGGTTCAAAACCCGAGTATTACAGGAATACTACAGAGCTTTCATCAATTAAAAAACAAATCAAAACAAGATATTCCACTTTCTCCCTTCTGTTCCTGCTGGAAAAACCCCAATCTTTCCCTGCGCAGCTTTTATTTTTCATTCCCTCTTTTCATTAAATGAAAAGGTGCTCACAGAATTGAGGGTCGGAAGGATGATTAGCCCTTTGCAGAGGTGTTTGAAATGCTATGATCAATGACCATGAAATAAAGTAAAATAAACATGGAAACACTGCAAGATTAAGTGACCAAGAAAGGGAGAGAATTGATTTATTTTCAAGTCCTAGACTGAGAAAATTAGGGTAGGTTCTGACCGGTATTCACATCAAATTAATAGTGAGAAAAGAAAGCTTCACTTTATGATTTTAAAAGCACATTTATTAATGGATTTAAATTTTTATTTTTTAAACACAACAGTTGCCTGTTCCCCTCTGTCTTCTGATCTCCACACTGCCAGCTCGGCATTACTACCAGATGATGTCCCCTAGAGAACAGCACACTTTAAAAAAAAGCACTGCAAAAAAGGAGCGAAAAAATGTTAAAGTACAGTTCAGAAATTGTAATTTCCTGCCGAACACACAGAGCCAAACCCAAGCTGTCACTGAGCGCCTGTGCTGCTCGCTGAAATCTGTGGGTTCATCCCCCGAGTCAAATGATTTTGAGACCAATTTGTCCAAGATGACTTGATCAGATGCTTTGGCTGATAAACAGAAACTATCAGGGCACACGGACACTGAAGGTTTATATATAGGTCGGCCCCAGAGGGAACAGGCAGACACTTGACAAAGGACAGCCACCTGAGAGCGCTCTCCTCACCGGCATGGAGAGGACGGTGACAGCTCTCAGTCAGCACGCTCCCCTCCTCCCATAGACTCACTCAGCTTTTATGTCTAAAAATGTTTTCACTCGCTGTGTTGCTCTCAAGCAGCAAAACAACAGGGACTGCAAGTGGCAGGGAACAGGCCTGAGTCAGCACATGTTCAAGGTTTCCAAAGGAGATCACACTGAATTTTTTAGTCATTCACTGTGAGAACAGGCTGGCCAGGCAGGTAAAATTCTTTCTTCAGTTTTCCCCCAGTCATTAAATATTCCCACCGATTTTCTATTTAATTTTTTTAAACACTTTAAATCCAGTTGATGACAAACTAGTCTGCAAAAGCAAGTTCACACTGTGATGACTTCCCTGACACATATGGAAACACGTAACATTTTAATAACACATAGAGGTCAGATCAAAGGAAGATCTAACATGCAGCACACAGCCCGTCAAGTTCCAACAATTCCATATTGGCTCCTTCAAGACCAAAACCTTCCTTAGACCTGGCTATAAATAGTAAGCCAGGATGTGAATAAGCATAAATGAGGAGAGCGGAGTCTAGACAAAAAAATTGAGTTAATCACCTCTGAATTCAGTCTAGAATAGTCATTTCTCTAAACAACAAAGAAAACTGATATAATTTGAGTGCCTCTTCCTAAAGGAAAGATGGAAGGGGGAGGTTACTGAGACTATTAATCCTCTCCTGTAATGAAACTCATTTGCAACGCTCATGTCCCAGAGGAGAAAACAGGTCTAAGAGTGACTGACAATTAGAAGCTACAGAATCATGTTTGCAATTTAAATTACTGTAAGAGTGACAGAATTGGGAGGTTGTATGTTTTGGTTGTGAGTGGGAGGGCAGGCTTTTAGTTTGTTTTCAAATGTGAGAGACTGGAGGCATGGAAGACGCACAGACAGGACTACCATGCACGGGGATGAACGCATGCTGGCCTGGCTTCCAGAGGCCATGAGGCATGCGACACAGCCAAGCTCAGCACAGGTTTGACAGATGCAAGAACACAGCAATGCAGAGGAGAGGCAGAGAACATCCACCTCTGTCCAACAGCAGTGTCATCCGCCAGCATGCACCACTCCTATTTAAAGCCAAGCAAAACTATAGCAATTGTGGAAAAACTCCCAAACATCTAGCAGCAATGCTACAAGTGAGGTGAACACATGCCACAACACTACAAACACGTACCTCCACAAACTGCACTGTTCTAAACGAGCATGATGAATGTGCTTCCAAGAGCAGGCCTACACAGCAAGATTTACCCCCAGATCAACTTCCAATTCTGGGCTCTCTGCAACACATACCTTTCGCTTTTTTTCCACCAAAACAACCGGCATCGTCTTTCTTCTTCTTCTGAGAGCCTCCCGTGCTTGTAGTCTGACTGGCGTCTAGCTCCTGGTACTTGTCAGCACCGGGGACCTCTTTGTGGACATGATAGGAAAGGTTCCGCATGATGCACACACAGTTCTCCACAGACTGCAACAGAGAAATTTATGTTACAGTAAGTACTGCACCTTCTTATTTGCAAACCATTATATTACACAGTAGAGGGCTTGGAGGAATTTAGAAAAAGCCCATCTGCCCCAGGAAAAGAATGTAGCTTTCAAGGAAGATTTAGTCAAGACTCCTTAAATTAAGGTTCGTTCTTGTTCTAAAACCAATTTTACTCTTCCGAAAGTGAAGTGCTTCATAAATAGTTCCCATTCAAAATGAAAATTCTCTAATCAAAAATACCACCTGATCTTACATAAAGAATACAATTCTCCAAAAGATCAAACACACAGCAGAAAATGATCATATAAGGATCCTATTTTAATACAAACCTCTCTCTAATTCTTCTGACTTTTACAATTCCCCAAGGGGCTCATTTTACTAAATCTTCTCTGGGTCAAAAATCTAGGCCTTTTGAGGATTTCAATGAGAACACACGTTGTCCCGTAGTAATAGCTGATCCATAGCACGTCAGGTTCTGACAAGAGCAATGCTCTGTAGATTGCAATGGAAACCACCAGGTGGTTACAAAACCCACTTCCAAAACTATCTGATTAAGTGACAGGGCTTTGTAATTCCCTTGTACAGTCCATCTCATGGTGGGACTCAAAAAGAATAAAATAATGATGCTTTACAAGCCCTACTGGTGTTATAAAGCAATTGTATGCTCTTTCTTGTTTAAACAGGTTTAATTTATGATATTCCTTATGCATATAAATATGCTTTTAAGCAGCACAGGATGAGATGATGATAAAAACAGATTAATCAAAATCTGCACCTAGAAAAAAGCCACAATGAAAGTGCTGCGGGTCTGAAGACATTTCTTAATGTCTAAGCACTACAATCCTTACAGATGGTGCTGAATAAAGTCATTAAAATGGGAACTGACTCCTTTGCTGGTACTGTGCAAAGCAGAATACAATGGCACTCAATTGTGATTTGGAGACTGCACTTATAAATGCCAATTAAGTAAAGCAGAACAATAGCAATACTGTCACTAACGATAATAAAGGGCTGCTCTTCCCTCCTATCACAACCACTTGCCTTTGCTCACCTCATCAGCCACACAAGGTAACATGGCAGCATCGTGCTGCTACCCCATCAGCAGTACCATGGATATCACAACAGACACGAGAGGAAGATAATGGCTCTATTTTCTGAGGCAAGCATAATCTCCTTGTGATACTAGCAAACAGAAGTCAGATCCCAGTGTAGCACTTCAGCCTAAATTAATGCAAGTATCCATTACGTTTTAGTACTCCAAGTTCACCTTATTGTCTGTATCCTTCTTGCCAACTGCAGACTGTAGAGCATGAAGGAGGGCATCCACCAAGCCATCACACTCTCTTAGTCTTCTGCGTGCTTCTGCTCCATCTGAGCTTACATTGCTAACGGGAGAGATTTAAAACAAAGTTTAGCCCTCTAACCTTCACCGTGAAGTCAAAAGGTACATCGATTTATGCTACAATTATTAAGAACTCATTACCTTGGATGAACATTTTGGAGGCAAATGAGTCTGACAAACGTATTAAATGTCAGTAAAATACGGGCAGTGCACATCTGCAACTCCCTGAATCTGAACAAAAATGCAAACAGTCACAGAGGTGTCTGCAAACACATTCTTCTGAGTTGCTGGTGAGTCCACTCATATACCTCAAACTGGACAGGAGTTTCCAGAGCAAACAATACACAAACTGAAAATTTAATTTCGAAGCCAGAACTTTTAATCTGAAAAATACTTTCATCACCTAATAAAAAACATGCGAAATCACAAATTATTCTTGATAGCGCTTGCTGGCAAAACCTATACGGAACGTTCTCTCAAAGCTGAAATGCACTAATTTTGACAACAATACAGCCAATCTTTCAGCTCTCAGGGTTTTTGAGTTCTACAAACCCATGTCGGGTTAGCTCCCAAAAGCTCAGGACGCAATCATTACCTTCTGCTACCAGGATCATGCAGCTAATTTTCCTTTTGAACTAACTAGAGGGACTGCCAATCTCCAAGTAATTAACAAATCAATCACGGTCCCCTCCCATGTCCCCCCATCACCCAGGCAGGCTGCTATGTTAATTGGATGACTAGGAAAAAAACCCCACATTTTCTCAGAGACCTCTCAAAGTCTGAAGACGCTTAATTGTGAGCTGGTTGCTGTAACAGCACATTAACTTTCAATTAAGAACAGAATTGAAATGCACAGATAAATGAATCCTCTCCCCAAATCCTAACACGCAGCCTCATCTCTAGCAACGGCTGACACAAGGCAGGTAAATTGGATATTTAAATATGATTCCACGGGATATATGGAAAAGAGAACTCTACATGTTGTTTCTCCATCTCCAGTTGTACTAATACAGAGTCTCCTTCTCTGCAGACATTCAAAACCCGCCTGGACGCCTTCCTGTGCAACCTCATCTGGGTGTTCCTGCTCCGGCCAGGGGATTGGACTGGATGAGCTTTGGAGGTCCCTTCCAATCCCTCACGTTCTGTGATTCTGTAATACTTTCATACCAAAAGCTCCAACGTGAATTTTAATGTAAAGTCTTTATGAAACTGAAATTAGAATTCAAATTCTCTGTGATACCTTTTAGGAGTTATAACAATAAATGATAGCAGCTCCACCTCCAAGCACATCTGTTAAAGTGGAACATTACTTACTAAGCTTGAAGGTGACAGAAATGCACTAAAAGTGGTCTTATCTGGAGCTGTGTATCACATTTCTTATTCCCTCACTAAGTCTTAGAGATCTACAATACACAAAGGAAAAAAAAATACAATTTTTGGGGAAAAAGAAGAAAAAAATCCTTCACACCTTTCTTGCCCCATGGCTTCGTAAGAGGTTTTTTGTGGTTCACTTGTGCTGCCGCGCCTGTAGCTCATTTGTTTTACTGTTTTGGTTATCAACAGCATCACAGTATTTTGTACCCTGCTGCCTTATTTCTTGATCTGTATTAGAATCAATACTAAGGCAGACATTGACAAGGTTATAATTAAAAAAGATACTATGAAAGTACATCAGTAAGAGCGTGTCTTGCTAGTATCACTTGCTGTATATTCAACTATAGAAAAATTTATTGAAAACTAATGCCTCAAGAAAAAATTCCCACATATACCACAGATAAATAAGCATGAAAACTCTGCAGGACCAAATTAATAGCTAATTAATGCCATGAATAAGTTATCCAGTCATCAAACTTTGTCGTTTTAATGTTGTAACTAACACATCAGAAAATGTACCCTTATGAGCATCTCGTGCAGAAACATCTGCTCCATAAAAAGCCAACACTCTTGGGATTCTGCCAGTCCCCCTCCCTGGGTAATGAGATTCCTGCAGCCCATGGGATTTCTCTAACGTGAAACAACAAAACCCATGTCCTTGTCTGTAACTGTAACCCAGACCTACTGGAAAGCTGAGCTCACATTCTTCTCCACAGAAGTCTAAGCAACCAGATCTCAGATTAAGCCCAGGGAGATCAGCACCTGCTTCCCAGAGACTGCTGCTCTTCCTGCTGCTTCCACACTGTAAAAGGCAGCAAAGATCTCCCAACTCCCATGGGAATATTTGCATTTCAGACACGTGCACAAGTACACCAAACATCCGTAAGCACTAAGCAAAGGCAGGCACGGTGAAAATGAAGACAGTGTGCTTTGAGTACATTCTCATCTGGCAGTCCCAGAAGTGCTCCCAGGGTTGGTTTCCACGAACCAGAGCAACCTTCAAAAGCTCCTGCAACCCAGAAAAACACCAGGTTGCATTTCTGCCTTGAAGTGTTGGACTCTATGCTACCTAACTCCTTGAAAAGCATCACCTGGTAGTCACCAGTCAAATTCACACCCTGGGTCTTCAGAAGGGACTGCAGCGTGGAGACAGAAGAAGTGACTACACGGACAAGAGAGCTAGTGCTGGTACTGGTCATTAAAAAGGACAGGAATTGCAGTGGAGTAACCAACCTGACATGGCACTCCGCTGACCAGAGTCAGGAAAAATCTCTTCCAATTCCACATCAGCACTGGAGTGCACTCGATGCACCTTACAGATCTATTACACGCCATGGAGCGAAAGCTGTAACTAAGTCATGTTCCAAAGGAAACTTTCAAAGCGAAGTTTCTAACCACCCTTCTTTCAAGAGTGATGAAAAATCAACAAATAGGCAACAGATTCCAGCAGACTTTAACAGAGGTTTTGTAGTCATCTCACACAGAGTGAGTACCCTCCACAACAGGAACGCAAAGCCTCATGCAACAGACAGATATGCAACATATGGCATCCAGACCTGGATAACGTAGGGACTTGTGCTTTTCACTGAACTTTCCTACACATTAGAAAAGCACCATTTTACATCAGAAGAAAATTAATTCTTCAGTGGATGCATACGAAAGGAAGCCAAACTCCTAGCTGAGGTGCTTGTTACCTCTGTAACTCAGGAGCTAGGCTGTCATGCAACAACTGGAACAGCCCAAAAACGTCTGAATTAAACACATTATCTCAGTGACTTGCTTGCTGGGGCAGCTCTATGGATGAAGTCCAAGATACTTTTTAAGTCTGACCAACTTGAAAGAGGAACTCTGCAGGGGTTTTGAGGCACTCATGATGGGAAAAAACCTGTTATAAATGAAAATAAAATTGACTGTGTGTTCAAATGGGTGGGAATGGGGAGGAGGAACTACCCAAACTATTTTTACACCAAACAGTGACAAGTGATACCTACACATCTCTGGTGTCCTGTCACCATCTGCTTCCCTTGCCTTGTCCTGTCACCCCCAGAGAGGCTTCCGCTGCTTTCCCTGACTTTCCTTGCTTTTCAACGCTTTTCCAAGAGTCCATTAAATGAAAAATGCATTTCAAAAACAACAACAGTATCTTTCTTACATCACACTGCAAAGCAATCTTCACAGTGTGCTCACTGTAAATATATACAACACACTCAAAAGCACAATTCTAGGAGCAACACATGAAATTATTGTCCATGTTACTCAAAGTACCTAGAAATGAAGCCAGCAGTATGACTGATGTTATGTAAAACAGTAAAGCACAAATCTCATTCTGGAGACTTTAAATACCCAGCCTGTAGCTGGATTCTTCCTCCAATTCTTGGAGTCCACACTGAAGACTGGACTAGTGAAAGAGGATTTGTAAGGATGTTCAAATACGCTTTCCCTGGGAAAACAAAACAGAGGAGCACTAAGTAAATGTTAAATAGAAGTAAATACTGACCAGCATAGGAACACATCTGACTAGGAATCCAGTCTGTTGGTATTAAAACCTTTGGAAAATGGCAGGGAATTTGCTGAGAAATCTGTGCGTGCTTTCAATAAGGTTATCATTTTCACCAATTAGTCATCTTGATAATAAGCAAGTCTGAACGTAACACTTACACCTGCAGAACCGAGTTGGTATTCATCACCCCTGGATAGGTGAGCTGTTACTATTACCTGTGCCACACACCACAATTATCCTCAAGAGAAAAGATTTTAAAATAATTAAATGCTTGGCGCCTTATTTGCACAATTTCAATGTAAAGCATGTAGCAATCTCCCCAATTCAACTCCCCCTCCACTCAATCTGAAAGATAGAGTGGAGATGTGGAGAGGTTTCGTTTGTTTTTTAAAAATGGTAAGAGAGAAACTTGAAAATCAAAGAGACAGTTTTTTTCTCTGAACATTAAAACTTGTATTTCCAAGACTATTGCTGTGTCTGCCACCTGGCTGGAAAGGGCCATCAGTTGTTATCCCACAGCGCAGCGGATGAAGCTGAAAGCCAGAGGTCAGAGCATTACTGAACACTCACCATCCTGCT